CACACACACACGGCCTGAGGGTAGATTAGAACAATTTTCTACTTCCCAGTACTTTACTTATGTATGTTTGTATTTTGTAAATTTTTGTTGTATGCATTACAATTAGTATAAAACATCTACTCATTTTTATTTCTGCAATAATTACATTAACCTTTATGATTACACTGGGAATGGTGTACCGTAAATCTAAACTACAGAAGACCAATAAAATGTATTATTTTCATGTATCCTGGGTCACCATCATTATTTTATCAGGCAGTGAGCAATTACTGGTTACCAAGACAACATATATGTACAGCAGTTAAAGATGGCTGCTGTGTGGTAACGATTGCCTGAGGTTACATGTGAAGATTTACTTCATGAACAGAGGTCACCATCATACTGGCAGAATAACAGAGTCAGTTCTTGATAGATGATCATTTTCACAAATTGTTCATAGTCACTTTTTATGTATGACAGTCTTGGTTAGAGCTGCTGCTGTTATAATTGCTGTCATCACTACGGACTTTCCTTCTTGGGCATTTGTCATTATATAAGGCATTATAAAGAACTAATGATAATTTGGATTGGTGGGTATTGAAAAAATGTCTTGTACCTGGAAAGCTCACTGACTTGACTTGCTAACTTGCTAGCATACTCTGGAATTTAAATTTAAATCTATTGTGATAGTATAATCAGGTGTGTTGGTTTGTGTTGGTTTGTGGTGGTTTTGGTCCTTCATAGCGCCCTCATCAGACCAGTGTAACTTGTGTCAAAACATGCTAAGATTAGCATTGTTTGTATTTCTTGTTGTCGTGGTGCTGTTAATGGTCAAACACCCTGTGCACTGTGCATGCTCATCTCATGACCACATTTTTTGTTTTCCCGCGGGTGCATAAACAGATGGTCATGCTGTCACGCTGGGACTTCCAAGCAGACATACTTTCATCCTCAAAGCAACTCTACTGCTTAAGGACAGCGTCTACTATATTTCATATCTGCCAATAGATCCTGGACCTTTAAGGAGGCCGTGGACAGCCAACAACACATGTGGGACGGATCCACATTTGGTTTTGTTTCTTTACTTTTGATCAGATGTTGTGAAATTGAATGTTCATAAATACAAGCAAATATAAATATATAAACAAATTAGTTGTTAACAGTGTACAAATTATTCTTGAGAAGGAAACTCTGGAAACTCTGGTGTTAAGAGGTCTCAGATATTTATTTTTTCGCCTCTCTTACCAGATATAGATTTGATTTAAATGGCTGTGGTGTCTGGGGAACTAATTAAGATCGCATATGGTGGTTGTCTGTCTGAAACAACACAACTTGATATCAGTGTTGGGGGTCGCTGAGCACTCAAAGGTCAACCTGACCTATCGACCACCCGGCTGAAACCAGACCTGCTAAACTGCTAACCCGCGAGATGCCTGCAAGCACACACGCACGTATGAAAGAGGGCACCTCATGGGTATGTGTACACACACACACACACGAAGCATAAGACACACAGGCCCCAGTTACACTGATCCTCACATGATTTCTTTTGATCTCAAATGCAAATTCAGTTGCTGCCAATTTAAGTTCACTGCTGTTGAACTTAAATTGATAAAAACAAAAGTACTGAGGACTACATTTAAAATAGTTTAACTGCAGTGGAAGACATTAGTGTCATTTAAAGGTACAAAATATGGCAAATCATTTGTTTTAGCCATATTTTACCTGTAATAGTGTAGAATATGTTTCATGGTATATTTGATCATGTGAAATCATTGTCATATACATTTAAATTCACAAGGCACCTACACCAATAAACAACTGTCACTTCCCTCTAGTATAGGTCAAATCTTCTTCTGCACTGACCCAAGAACCTGGATTTCAACATGTACTCATATTAAGGTTATATCTTTTCTTCTCCATATGAACACTTAGACACAAAATGTTACATCATATGTAAGTTAACCTTGTCATGCTCTAAGACACTAGCCAACTGTTTCCTCAGTGACTAAATGTATTGCACATACTGTGTAGTTTTCCATCATTGAACATACTCAGCTTTGTTTATTTTTTCAGTGCATATGCCTGCAGTGTGAATCTGAGCAGAAAGCCTGCCTGTCGAGTACATTTGCATAGTGATTTGCAAGTTAAAATCCCTGTACATCTACCTTGAACACAAAAAATTGATTGTGAGAAAGTCACCCAGCAACAAACACGTTTGCAACAAATACTGCGACGCATTCAGGTTATAGCCAAATAACAATAACAACACTGCACAGCAAGATCAATAATAAAGCTAACTATGGTTATGGTTATTCATTTGTGGAACTACACATGCTAAAGATTCTCTGTGGGTAGAGGGAGCTGACATCAAGGTAATGGTCCCCCTCAATTTGTAGCTTCATTATGTATCAGGAGAGAGAGGTGTCCTTGGGGACACAGCTAAAGCCTGCAGATGCAATGAGAGTCTGGCACTTTGCGTGATGAGATAAACCCTCCGTGAGAAGGACTGTACTGTACAGGAAGCCTCACATGATGCCCCATCCACTGCAGTATTATAGTAAGAAGCACTTTATTTTTGCATCATGTCCCTCGCCTCTGTTTGTTCACATTAGAGGAAGGTTCACCAACACATATCTGTTTGCCAATCAGACTGGAATAAGCCACCGTCAATGGCTTATGAAACATTCAGGGTCAGATTGCATAAAGTTTCAGCTCACCACAGGATGTTTCACTGGATCTTTACTTATCTTTTTCCCTGAAACTGTGAACAGTTAGTTCTTTCAGCTGTGGTATAATGATGCTTCTGTTCTTGTGATACAGAGAGTAGTTTTATTGATTTTATAATATGTATTTCAGCAAAAAACATCCTGCAGAGACAGACTGCATTTTGAAAGGGGAAAAACATTTTGGGTTCTGTTCAACAATCTCCTAAATCTACAGTGAATAAAAACGTACTGGTTATATTGAAAATCTCAGTGCTGTATGTACTTTCTGTAAAACAAGTTGTAATCTACAAATTCAAATATGTGTCATATTTTTACTACAGTTCTCAGCTCTTGTGTGAAAATGTTATGTGTCACCTCTCCATAAGGAGGCAGAGTCTGTCTGACATTAAACAATGAGAACTGTGATGCTGTCCTGACACTTAGTGGAGAACTCGATAATAACATGTGAAGCCTAATGAACCAAAGTTCATAAACAAAAACTAAATTTTGCCCAAATTGTAGCTATGCCTTTAGTGTCCTAAACATAAAAATACAGAGCTCCACATACCTGCATCTCCTGTTCAATGCGCAGCCTCTCATGACCAAGTTCTTCCTGATAAAACTGTAATAGAGGAGACAGGAACATTACATACAATCTTAAGATTAAGGAAACACACACACAGGCCAGGAACACTCAAAGAAATATCAAATGACATCATGCTTTACATGTGTGTACAAGTGCAGGTGTACTTGCATACATGTACACCTGCAGTGTGTGTGTTAGTTTAAGTTGTAGTTTGTGTGTCCAAATAGCTCTTGTGACCTACAGGAATAGCTGTTAAAAGGAGGGTTAGGAATGTCACACATGCTGCTTCAGGAGCCTCTTTCTAGAATAGTCTGACCAGCAGAGACCTGGTGGTTCAGAGGAATGCAGTAATATTAGAAAGCTCATATAAATTGTGCCAGGTTTGACTGATGTACTCTTCATACATATATAAGGGATAACTGATACAAACACATTTACTGAAGGGTTAGAGACAGAATATGGCCAACATTTAGGTTTCCATTTGCTAAGACTCAGTTGTAGAGATGCCACCTAAGAGTAATTTCAGATGTTAAGGGTAATTTAAAACAGGAATAAATATGTGTATATACCTCCACATCCTTATCCTTTTGCAGCAGAGATGAAGACAGCTCCTCAACCTGCCCCTCCAGCTCTCCCACCCTCCGTGTGAGAGTTGTCTTCTCTCCACTCAGCTCTGTGATAATAGCCTCCTTGGAGCTAAGTTCTTTAGTCAACTCCTCTATTAACCTGAACACAGACAGAGATGTTAGTCAGTGAGACAGATAGGTAGATTTAGTTTGTTTGATACCTGTTGTGATTTTAGTGTTTTGCACCTGTCTTTAGTGGTGTTGGAAGGGGACAGGATGCTCGGAGGCCTCTCATCCTCTGGGATGTCCTCCATGGGGATGTCTAGCGAGAGGAGGGAGGCGTGGGAGTGCGACCCAGCCAGCGAGGCCATCCGCTCAGCCTCACTGCGTGCTAGCTGGGCCTCCTGGAAATACACGTAGAAACAGTTCCGATTTCTAAATCTAAGGCACAGTGTGGGTGTCAGTTTCTACGCTACGCTGAAGGTGTGAGCGCACAAACCTCCTGCAGGAGCTGAATCTTGGTCTCAAGCACTTGCTGCATGTGATCGATTTCCTGCTGTCTCTCCTGACACCGTCTCTGCAGCTCTGCCTCATTGTGATTGGTCAAGCTCTCCGCTGTTGTGCTGTGCAACAAGGAACAAGGCAAGTGAGAGTTGATTACCACATCAATCAGCCCGAATCAACTCGGTTTCTATGGACACGCAAATCTAGTCAGAGGGGTCCGCATTAGAGCATTATGGAGACAGATCCAAAAATATGATATCATCACTTTGCTACAGCGCTCAAGGGCTATCCAACACCCGTCCAGTTATAGCAGAGATTAAGTAAAATGCCCCGCCCATACTGTAGGCTTTTATTGTCATGCTTAATGACATCATATATTCTTGCAGAAGTGATGTTCCCACAATGTGAAAGTGGTGAAAGGATTTATGTGGCTACAGCAGCTGATACAATTCGGGTTCTTTTTGCTATTGGAAGTAATCTTGACTTCACTTGACTGAGTTCCACCAGGGGCTTGTGTTACAGATGTGAAGGTTTAAATGAAATGTGTAATTCAGCACACACAAACAGTTTCCTTGTGTTCTCCTACAAACACAATACGCGGTTCATGACGTAAGCACTTTTGGACTCCAACTGTGCAAGCATCTGTCTTTATCACTTAGTCAGTCAACAACGCAACCCCAGAATTTCTGCTCCCAGAATGGCACACGCCACTCTGTCGCCATGAGTCCCGTTCTGGAACCTGTCTACATACGTTTTTAACTCTGTCCGCCACATGCAACAGCTCAAATAACTGAGATATTTTGAACCAGTCTGAGTAATGCAAATGTCTGTCTCATGGACAAATGGCCTTTATGTGTAATGGACAAGACCTTCACCCTAAGTGCCAGTCTGCAAGAAGTCAGAAGGAAGATGGCTCACTGGCATATTCAGTAATCTCGGTCTGTTGACAATACAATTTAAACTACAGAGAAAGGCCATGAGGCTTCAAGTTCAAGAGATCGAGATTTAAGATGTGTAGCAAAGGTTTGGAGTTTCTGTGGTTTAAAATGTGGCATTTTATTGTTGTTTGTTGTTGTTGTTATATGGATTGTTGTTGTTGTTATATGGATTTTTACGATGTGTTGTGTTTGCCAACAGCTCAGCTGAGCTGTTCCTCACTCTGGAAATGGCAAGAATTGGTTGATGTCCAAACCACAGAATATGTAGCAACAAAGAATCCCCTTTGGTGATCTACAGCTGAGCAGAAATGGTTACTTTTCACACCCAGAGCACTGATAGTTAGATTACCATTTACCATCAACCTTTTCTATAAGCACTTCTGTCAAAGACTAGAAGACTGAATATGTACTGTAGAAATGACAAAACCTGCTGAACTGTTGCAGAACGAACCACTTTACTGAATCATCTTGGCTGACACTGTACAGCAACAAAAATAGAGAGCAGTAATAAGAGCCAATCTATCCTTTCCAAGTTGGCTAATGATGACATATTAAAGGTCAAAAACCCTGACCTTTAAGCATTATCTCTGTCAATTTCAACAGTAATGCAGGGCCAACTGTTGTCAAAGTGTAAGCCATATAGAGGGGGAACAAAAACACAGCATGATAACAACCCAGGAAGAGCACCACCTTTCCTACAAGGCACATGCAATCTACTAAACTCAGTTTCAAGCTCCATCCTGCAGCAAGAGAAGTCCTGCAGGTAGAGCAAGGACATCTGAATCTTAAACTATACATTATCTCTATCAAATGACAAATTAACTCTTCAAACACCAATTTATTTTGAGCAGAGACAGAAAGGAAACACACAAAGGGAACAGAATCCCTGTGTTTCTCTCACACGACTATTGAAACCCCAACATGTAGTAAAATCTCTCTAAACAAAACCTGTTGCTGTTGTTTTGTCGATACTTGCTATCATGGGTGCCTCAAGCTGAAACCCCTGGTTAAAGGACAGCCCCCCTCATCACAATGTCACAATTACAGCACCAGCATTTTCACAGCCTGTCTACAATAATCCTACATGAGAGTTTTGTAACATGTCAGGGGTTTAAGTTGTGTGGGTTGCATGTGTGTGTGTGTGTGTGTGTGTGTTTGTGTGTGTTATCTCTATCAGCTGCTGCATGACATATGAGCTGTTAGAGATATGAGGTGTTACCACAGTTAAGACAGGGTCATGTAGGGAATCACTATAGTAGGGACACACTAACTCCTCGCCGGCCACCACCCATAGATGGAGGTGCATCTGCCCACAAACAAAGTATACATGACCAAGGAAAATAGTGAAATAATTGGATTGTATCATGTTACACAGGAAGTTCATGACAGGTATTTCAATAATTATAGACAATAGATAGTCAATATCCGCCTGTCTTGTCATTCATTAGTGATGTTAAAGAGGGACCTTTTACAGTGTGACAATTTCAAATATTCATTGATTTTCAGTTAAGTCAAATGTTAAGTATCTATATAATAAGGGACAGAAACTGTTAAAAGGTTGTGATTGCATGTTAATACATGATATGATAAATATGTGTGGACTTACAGGGCTTTATCCAGAAGCTGCTGTTTCTCCTGGAGCTCCTGCTTCAAGCTCTCTACTTCCACCTTCAACTCGATGTTCTGCAACAGATGAAAGCAGTACGGTCAGTCATCATCACACATCATCCCCTCCACCGTCAGCACGAAACATCTCGCAACAGATAAATGACCTTTTATAACTACTCGATAGCGGATGGGAGACAATTACTGTAATGCACTTATTAAAGTGATCGAGCACTGGCAAAACAAACATAAAACATAAATGTGGGTTGTTAATGCAGCTACCATATCTGTCTTCCTCACACAAACACACTTAATTCCTTGTACTATTGAGTTTTCATAGAGTCTTCTAAAAAATAGGATAGCAATTTAAATTTCTGTACATTTCCAACAGTAAATTAGGCTGAAACAGTTAAATTGAAAAGCGTGGGATGTACAATATTGGCAAATTTCTTAATTAACATAAAATATGTATATTTTAAAGCTTCTACACACCTATGGTTCACCCACACAGATGTTTTTTACTTAATTAGCTGATTAAACCTCCTCTTGGGACTGTGTGATCTGACAACTTCAGTCGGTCAGAGGTCTAATAAGCCTGAAAACACCTATATAGATACAGCCTATAGTGAAAATATTTACCAATATACCTTTTTCACAGCAGACAATTTTGCATCTCACAGCAGTAAATACACAGGTGTAATTGATAGCATTAAAAACATTCAAATCCATTTAGGTAAGTTAGTTCCAGGGCTCTGATACTGTGCATGCTGGCTCACTCTCGTGGCTGACAGGGATACTTTTTCATCGTTAATAACATTTGTTTCACCTGCACTTTTCCTTCTATGTCAAGTTAAAAAGCTCAGCCGTGAAAGAGGAGATTTGGAATGGAAAAGACAACATTAATCAAGTCCTGCTACAAGAGTTATGAAGTTTGATGGGATAAAAACACAATAACACTTATGCCTGCAGCAAAAAATATAAACAGGATTTATAGCAGAGCATGTCATATATGGCAGAGACAAACGAATACAGAATCTATTTCAGGATCGTGCTTTATGTAAATCAGGTAATAGAATTAGCTCTTATTTTGTGTAGTTGTGTGTCTGTTCTGTATAAGATTCTATATCCAGAGGGTTTTAAAAGGTTCATCACACACTGTTGCTTATATGTTCACTGGTAGTATTCTTCTCTCCCTCACATCTCGAGCACCCTTTTTGTCTCGTTTCCTCAGCCATCACATGTCTTCATCACAGCCTAATCTCTCTGTCTCTGCCGTGTGAATCAGGGCTGGTGGGTGTTGTGTATCATCAGAACAGAACATCTGACCGTGCTGTCATGGCTGGTATATTTAGAGCTGGAGAATTCAGTGCAGCTCAGATCCTCACCCCTGGGGCCAAAGGCTAAACTCCACAGTTTGTTTACCTGCTGCGGTTCACAGGAGACACTGTAGGACCAATCAAGGCTCTCACACTGAGCTAGGGCACAGGGGATTTCAACAGTGGGAATGGAGGGGCTCAATCTTTCCATTCTGACCTCAGAGAGGACAGTTTATCTGTCTGTCTGTCTGTCTGCTGGACTCAGATCAGATAGCTGCTCTCACTGGTTTAATAACCCTTATTGCTACAGCTTATCTCATGTTCATCTCAACAGATTGTCCATTTTCTCTTGTCCGTCATCTTGGTTTGGCTGCTTCTCTTGTCTCTTCTCTCTTCCCTCCTCTCTGTTTTAGTGCCTCTTCGTGCATGTCCTATTCTGTTGACCTTCCCCTTGTCCCCACCAGAGAGCTCTATGTCCCTCACACTCACAAACACACCACACGCTACACGTGCACCAACACTTGCGAGATGAAACACAGCCATAAACATATTGCTGAAAGGGAACATGAGCGCTCAACACACGCATACTGCTCGTTACGCACGCACACATATATTCTGCACGTGACCACCGCACACAGTACTGCTACACATATACTGGTCTGATCAGAAAGTGACAAATATCCAAGAACACACTGTCTGAAATTATGATATAATTCTCGTTTTTCTTCGGTGAGATATCATTTTTAATATCCATTGATTTGACATATTGATAGACATAATCATCTTGTTAATTATTCAGATAGTGCAGTTAATCAAAGTTGTGAAGCCATACAGGGAAGAAATTAAATCTAAGGGACACGTGGTTGTGTTTAGTCAACCAGAAAATATACATATTTTATTAATACCAGATTTCTATATTAATCTAAGAGGTTAAAATGTAACATTCATAATAACTGGATTCAGTGTTTGATTTGCTTTAAGGTCACAAATGTATGCATTTCCCCCCATAGTGTTTTGAGGCCCTAAAGATATACATATAACATCATATTAATAATTCATTACATTCAGACCAAAGAACTCAACTGTGCAACAAAGTAATTCAGCAGCAAATAGAAGTTATGCAACATACGACATAGCTAATGATTCAGTGCTTCAGAGCTCTAATAATAAATAATATAATACACCAGTAAGAGGAACGTGTATTCCTGTGTGTGTCATCAACAACTTGGCTTACAGTGAGAGAGACATTTTCCCATCTTGAAAACAGCTCTATATATAGACACCCATCACAGCGCACCTGCTATTCTGGCCCATCCTGGCCTGTCAGCCCTCAGCAACAGATCCTCTAATAACCACGCTGTGCAGGATGAGGGAGGTAATTGCACTTCAAAACACTGACAGGAATGTTACTTATTAACCAAACACACCTGTAATACTGTCACGGATCACCTGCTGATGGGTATTATCATTTACTATCATTTACTCAGAATTTATTTATTGATGATGCTGCTAATTTTGCCATATCTCATAGTAAACCATTTACTTTATTAATTATTCGTGTCTGTTGTATCTACATTTTCTCGATAAACCGATTATTCGTTTCGGGAATAAAATGTCACAAAATACGGACAAAAAAACTGACCAACCAAAGGTCCAGAACCCAAAACTATTTAGTTTATTATCAAATAAAATGAAGAAAAAGAGCAAATACTCTCAATTCAAGAGAAAGTTGGGCAAAAAATAATGATTCATTGATTATCAATCAATTATTAATTCAAGCTTCAGCTCTATTTCAGCTCTATTTTTAATTATAAATATATATATATAATAGCGCTTTTTCACTGAAGCCATTTTGACATGAAATAGTAGGCTAAACACTCTGAATTAGAGCTGCAAGGATTAGTTTACTAATCAATGAGTTGATAAAAATAATTGCCAACTATTTTGATAATTGATAAATGTAATTTTTCATGCAGAAAATGCAGTTTCAGCCACGAGTCGTGTCAGATGGACATTCGGATGAATACATGTGATAAATAAATCAGTGCACTGAAGCCTGCTCTATAAATAGAGTCTGTCGAGCTCTGAGAGATCGCTATGTGCCCAGAACCAACACACCTAGTACAGTATACACTGAGAACGGGAACATTGCCACTCTGTCGTGATACTCTGCCAACAGAGCAACGAGCAGCTCCGGTCAGATAACAACTACGGAACAAAGATTTAGTTTCCAATAAAAACTGGCTGGTTAACCTTTAGCTACACAGAGTAAGAGATTGTGAAGCACAAGGTTTGAATCCAGTTGGATATCTGTATGAGGTGGGATCAGTTTACTCAATCTCTGCTGGTATGCAGTAATTGTGGAGGATAAGTGGCAGGATGCTCAGGTCGTGTTCAGCTGGATCAAACAGCCATTTAGTTTTGCTCATATTAAAGAGTTGCTGATGATCAGAAGGGATTTGGAATGAAGATAGAAAGAACGACAAGTTTTAAATGCCGGCTGGCTCTGGCAAACAACAGCTGAACTGGGTCACCTTATTGTAGGTGCACGCTTTACATGCACACATGCAGAGGGACGCAGATGCACTTAGAAACAGAGTGTCTATAGTTCTAAACACAAGCACAGAAATGAAACGCCGACAGAGGAAGAGGCATAATTAATACTGCATCTTTGATTAATTGGTCAATAGTTTTTTTTTTCAACAAATTTCAAAGTTATGCAATTTATAAAGATTATAAACAGAGAAAAGCAACCAGGTTCCCTATTCACACCTTGAGGGAAACATTAAAACCTTATTTTGCAACTGTTATGTCAATGGCTTATACCTTCAAAGTTATTTTTTGGATGTCAACTGTTTTCCTGAAATAGTAAAACTTTTGTCAGGGGTGAAACCAATATCTATATCCAACAATTCCACAAAAGTCAGCTGGCTTGGCCTGCCATAGCAAAGAATAAGAGCGAAGGCTCACAGTCTGGGGGAATATTGGATTCAAACATTGGTTTCGCCCCAGGTGAACATCTGTGGGATCTGCAACCTGCTGATAAAAACAGGTAAAGAATAAGGTTTTCATTTCCCCCCAAAGGTTTGTGCAGGAAATGCTACGTGACTGAATCATGGAGGCTGAGGTCACCTACAAGGCTATAAGTTAGTTGGAGGAACACAACTTTATTTCATTTCATTCTTTCATTCCTTTTCTCATAAGAAGTCCTGAAATGTTGTCTCTGAACACTAGCAGCAGTACAAGAACTTTACCTCGATGAAATACACTTCGGCATTTTAAAAATTCAAACCAAGAACAACAAGGACCGTGTAATGGAAATAAGTCCTGTGACTTTCTTGTGTTATCCCTAAAGTTCTTCTAACTTCACATGTACATTGGTGTTGCAACCATGTAACCCTCTTTAAAATTAATTGGCAAATAAACAAAACAAAAAACTGATAAAGCAGGGATGTACTTATCCAACTTTTACTCTCCCAATACCAATTCCAATTCCTCAACTCTGGGTATTTTTCTAAGTACAGATCCAGTACCAGAGCTCAATGTTTTCCAAATACATTAGTTTTTTTTAAATAAAGAAAATTAGGTCAGAGACTGCTGTAACAATAAAAATTGATCTGCCATGTTCGACACACATTGTGCTTAATAGGGTCAGTATCTGCAGCAATACTAATCCAGCGTATTGGTTCGGTGCATCTGTAGATAAAAGACAAACAAAAGAAAAAAAAGAATACTAATCTGACCACAGATGTGGTGTCAGCTTTCAGTATTTTCACTTTTTGGATTACAGACACATTTCAACCTGTACCAAAAAGTAATGGGGGTCAATGTCCAGCTTAGCTCACACACACAAGCTGTCATGCTGAACTTTTTCTTTTCATTATATGTCTTAGCAAAGGGCTGTTGCTAAAATGACATTATATGTTCACAGGTGTATCCCACTAGGTCTCTATATATCCACAGTTGTTGTTTACTGTGGAGTAAGACTAAATGCACACTGTCTAACTTAATATAGTATTTATTATCCAACAATGCACAGCAAAACAGAGGTCCTGGGTACACACTGCATCAAATATAAGCTCCTGAGCAAAGATCTAGTCAATGTGTAGTCCTTCACAGGGCAGCCATATCTAAAAACAGGCACTTGGTAAAACAAACACATGGCAGGTCACATCAACTCAACCAGATCAGTGTGACAGCTGGGTCAACAAACAGTGGAAGTGGCTCAGTAAAGCAACTCTCCGGGATAAAATAGCGATATACTGTCATGATAACAATCAACTGCTGTGATTGGTAAAGGCACAAATGAACTCTTTTGAGTGCCAAATCCCTCAACAAAGCAAAATCAATGATTTTACATCATTTTCATCAATGAAATCACCCTTGGCCCCTTGGCACAGCAGCTCTCCACACCACATATAGTCCCATTCATCATCCCATTCACCACCAGTCAATCAGGTTTCCAGTCACTTCCTCACGCTCTACTCACCGTACGGTAGACATCTTCACTGCTCTCCTCATACTTCTGTTGAATCCTCTCCTCCAGGAAGTAGATGCGGAGCTTGAGGCTGAAGTTCTCCTTCTTCAGGTCATTCAGGTGCTGTGACAAAGTACGGTAACCGTTAGACATGACCGTCAAAAAGCACCGACACCGCTTGACATGTCCGTTATAGGTCAGAAATCAAAAGTCTCCTTTGACCGCTCCGTGTCATGGGGGTATTCGGAGTCCATTTTAAAGGACAGCCACTGTTAGGGCACGTCCTCCTTGTGTTAGAGTCTGGTAACCGTTAGACATGCTACCTCCTTCTCCAAAAGAGCATAATTTCACAATAAACTAATTATTTACAAAGTGGCATCCTCCAACAGGCCACTGGGATACCATCGACAAAACCAAACACACACTAACGCTAACACATTCACACACACACATACACACACACACACACACACTAGTCTATAGGCGTGTTTGCGGTGCAGAGGGCGACTCTGCAGCCCAGGCGGTCAGAGATGTAGCCATGTCAACTCCATGGTGTGATCTGGTCTGCTAGGGGGACGGGGCAGGAGCTTATTTTACAGGAGGAGACATCCCTGGAATCCCAGACTGCCAAGGGAGATGGGTGGAGAGGGGAGGGTGAAGGGGGAGGTAAGAGGCTCAGGGCTCACAGGCAGTTGTGATATGAAGGGAAATCTCACCCCTCTGCAAAACAGGAGTGCCGAAAGGAACAAACAGGAACATGAGGAGAAAGAAGGGGGGGTTGATGTGAGTCCCTTTCTGTCCTTTTCAGTTTGTCCGCTTCCTTTCAGATGTACTGTTATCCTATATTTTTGAGTGTGGAGGTTGATCCCCATTGAGAGGACATCTGAAACTCTGTCCACACTAGACTGAATGTTATATAATTACAACAGTGGTGCTCTCTTAATAGTTTCTTTTATTTTATTTTAGTTTTATTTGAATATATTGCACATTTATTACTTTTGTAATAACACACACAAGGTGCTAATACACTTAAGTCCATCAAGCTAGAAAACACTTGCGTAAAAAGTGTTTGCTTGCTTTCTACTTCAGGGTGACACTACAGCCGACATACAGCACACGTTAGGAGTTTTAGGAGAATAAAACCACGGTCTCTTTCTGTTTCTAGTAGCAGACAACCATTTCAAAAACAAAAAACAACAAAAGAATCCAGTGTACTTATGCTAACGTTACCTGTCTAGCACCAAATAGTAGACAGAAAAAGTTAGCAACTAGCTAAAGCTAGCAAACGTTAGTGAGCTAAATGCCCAGATAATTTTCTCAGCAGGGGAGACCACAACAGAAAGCTAAAAGGAGAGTTAATATTGGACTATCAAGTAACACAAGTCCAAATTAACACTAATATTGTGTCTGCTGGTTGTAAAACCAGAACTGTTAGCTAACATGTTGACCATAACAACTTAAATGTCCAGTGTGTACGATTTACTGGCATTTAGCAGTGCTGTTGCAGATCGAAACATGGCAGTTCAACATGGAGGACTCCATGGAAGGCGACCTGTGGCATCTCTAGATATAAACACCTAATTTTAAGGTAACAAAAACATAACAATTCCAATATTCAGTTGATTATACGCTATTGAAAACATACCTATGCATGTGATATTCCATTTCTGCCAATAGAGCCTCTTAAGCCCTACACACTGGACCTTTAATGGGTAATAACATCAGGGTGTCAGGGCTGACAGCTTGTTTTGGTATTTTTGTGCCCCCTATTGGCCAAATCGAATGTAGCTTGTAACTACAAAAGTCCCTGGAATATTGTTTCTCTCCTTTATGACTGACAGGGATGAGTGAATATCATCTGACATTTTAAAAGGAATGCATCTACCCAGTCTCACGCTCTACCCTGAATTTACCATATGCCAATTCAGTTAAAATTCAGATAAAGACTGGCCTGACAAAGGCTAACTACTGTGCCGAGGCAGAGGGGCTAATGGGAGCGGGACAGACAGGTGAGTGGAAAGAAGTTGGATGAAATAGGAGACCTGGGAGCTGTGAGCCACCGTGCTATTAATAGGGAGGTGTCCTGAATCGCACAGAGCGGTGAATCCCTGAATGTCCCTCAGAGAGATGAGCGAGCAGGAGGAAAATAAGAGCAAGGAAGACAGGCTCCACTAACTCTTCTCGGCTAAAATCAATTTTTATGAAAAGCATCCGGTGCAAAGAGCATCAATAATGAAGTGACTGAGACATGTTACCAACACAATCAGTCATTATTAGTTCTTGATGCGATCAGTGAGTGTGTCCATTTAAGTGTCACATTACGTGCTGTTGCTAAATAATTCTGAGCAAAGATAGGATAGGCGCCAAGCGGAGTCTCCACATAACATTAGGGATGATATCATGTAGTGTTTGTTTTTAAACTCCACACTCACACACACACACACTTTTCAGCTCTTTGTCAAAGACAAATAAATAAGTGAATGTGTGTAAATATGTGCATGCAGTGTGTGCAGGAATGTGTTTCTTTGAGTATAAAAGTGACATCCAAACACATGGCAGCCATGTAAGTGACTCTGGCTTTGAGTGGGGTGTTGCCTTTAAGAAAGTAACTTCAGCTTTCGTGACTAGTTGGTGACACCTCCCGTTTTAACAGAGCACAGCCGTAACATTTAAGGACTATCACTGGTGGTGAGTGTTCAGAGACTGTTACAGTGCTTGACTTACATTTTATGAGTGTGTATTAAGGGAAATGTGGGTTGTACTTGGGAATCAATTAAATAGCCTGCAACTCAGTCTGGGTATTGAGTTGAGTAGACTGTAAACAGAGAGCAACAGCTGTAGATACTACTATTGGGTACACTGCAAATGGACAAAACCCTCATCCAAAGTGGCTTACTTGTGATTTACTTGTATTTAACAGACAACACTACTGATTAAGGATACTGTAGGTTCTAGATAAAGTTCCCTGTGGTCTGTTTTGTTTGCTTGTAAGGCAAGAAGGTACAACAGATAGAAGGAAATATGGAAAATGGCAGACCAACTGACCAACCATGCTTAATATCGCTCTGCCATATCAATATCGCTATTACCCTGTGGTAATAGTTAAGGGATTATTTTTTAGATATACACTAAATTGTTTTCTTGCTAAGAGTTTGGAGAGGACGACAATAACACTGTCATGTTGTCTGGGAGTTTTTGTTTAAATTAATTTCTATAGATGCTAATGGCTTCAACAATCTGTTATACCTTTGTCCACATCAGCATCTTAAATAGCAATAAAAAAACATATGTTAATAGTAATTTAAATGCATACATACATAAAGAGGCGTTTAAAAATGTGTCCAACAAAACTGAACAAAACCTTCACATCCAATCCTTATAATCTTATTACTTATTAGTTACATCCTTTTTTCATTTCTTTTTACCTTCAAGACATCTACATTGTCAAAGTTTATGTGGTGGGTAAACCTTGTGTCCCCTCACTGATTAATACAGTTGATCTGAAAATAGATGAGTAAACTCTCAGCCTCATTTCAAAGAGATTGATAAACTGAGTTTATTTGAGGTCACCGTACTCTACGCCCCTGAGTGCATCAGACACAAATCCTACAGTTTGTAGAGAATCAGTGCTGTGTAAAAGTACACTGATTACTAACATATATGGGTCTGAATTTGGGTCAGTAATGTTCTCCTTGCTCATAAAAACAAACATTAAAAGGTATATTTAATGTAGTCTTTCTGTCAAATATGACCGTCCCAATAATAGTGCAGCAGAGACTGATGAGAAATCCTAAAGTGGGTCATCCTGTAGCCTTGGGCATACTTTAACCACCAGGAGGGTTCAGGGTGTTTTCCATCTGATATCATCATCTGCAGGTGTTCTCCTCTTCTGTGCAGTAGTTTAAAACCATATATTTCAGATAGCTTGAGCAAGGATTTCTGGATTAGATAGTAATTTTCTCAACGTTGAGTGATCTGATCCCATAAGTGCGGCTACTGAATTAAAGCCAACCAAATCAGCTCATTACAACTTGTAGGAAGACATGCAGCCACCAGATGGTACTGTAGAGCATGTTTTCATTGGGCATAGACTAGAGTGTTCATTATGCTGAAGGATGAGGAAATGTCATTCACATCAAGGTCGTTGATAATTTGAAGTAAAAGCTCTCACCTGTTCAAACTCCTTGAGTGTGTGAAGCTGAAGAGGAGGAGAGTTGTCTGTTTCATCGCTACACAAATCTAAGCAGAAGGAAAAGAATAAAATCACTAGAAATCATGGAATTAACCATTAATCATGTGAGCAGTCTATGTTTTTACACAAGCCTATTGGTTAATAGAGCTTATAGGGAGTAACGTACCTGTCATGTGACCTGTGATCTTGGATGAAGTCTCCTCTTCCGCAGCACTGTCCAGAGAAACAAAGAAAGCAGCATTGTCAGCATAATACACTCACACACACATAACACACAAGCAAAAGAGAGAGAGAGAGAGAGAGAGAGAGAGAGAGAGAGAGAGAGATAAATAAATATGTGAAATCAAAAACCTACTGCAGGATATCCATCACAACAGTTCTAGAGCGGAGAATATCATACAAAATAGGCTTTGTAATCCTGAAGAGCAGATGGCTCCTCTAGAAATTAAAAAAGCCATTTAGATCTTTTCACTGTAACAGCATGATCTCATTTGCACCTCTGTAGGGAATTGGGGGGTGTCAGGGAGTCCCAGCAGGGGAGATAGGAGGAGCCACTGAGGGTCAGAGTTCATCTGAGCCTCTCAGGCCTTTAGTGCACGCAACCAAAACTTACTGTGCTTACATGATAGCTGCAATTAATGAAATAATGCCTCTCTTATACTGGTTATAACCATGATTAGAGTGCACGTAAACAAATCAAAGTGTGGTTTACAATAAAAGACTGGGCGCACTGACCACAGTAACAGTAGTATTGTAAGCTCACTATTTAGCCTATACTACTACCACTGCTCAGACAGGGCTGCATTAGTACTCCTCCCTTCCATCGACTACCATATAAATTCCTCTGACAGCTGCCGGGTCAGAAAATGTAAAGACAGTTGGTGCATGCCAGGTGGATAAATAGTCTACATGCTGCATTATTGGTGGCGGGAAGGGTGCCATATACCCCAATTCACTACTGTTTTATTATGGACATAAAGGAGTGGGATAGTCCATCTATGGTTAGAGTGTGTGTCCCTGTATGTAGGAGGGATTTGGCTGTGCAGTAACCTACATACATAGAGAATTTGGACTGTGCCATCACACTGAATGAATACATGCTGTACTGTATTGACGTTTTTCAATTGAGCTATTGAAAGTCATTCAGTCATTACAGTATATTGTCGTGCTCTCTGTGTGAAGGAATTTAATCATATTACTTCTGGTCTTGCTACACAAAGTGTCTCCCGGGCCCTACTGCCCAAACACACAATTAGGCCCTTTAAATATTTGCTACTGTATCGCAATGTCCATTTATGCGAAGTAGACCAAAAATCAGCGCCCTGAAGCGCGTCTTTATCTATAGATTTCATCATAAAATCCTATTATTAATGCATTTACAC